CTATATCTTTTGATAGCTGGGCATCATCAGCTTTCTTCACCACGTTTACTTATGCACCCGTTTGTCTTCAGTGATCATATCAGGAAGATGAACATCATGGAATGACAGTTTAATAGAACAAAGTGTTCTTGCATTGAGGGAGTACTTGAGTGGAGGTCCAATATCCATCTGCTACCTTAATACTAAACCTAAAAACATATGCACATAGATCTACTTCCCCATCATATATGTATATGTAAATATATATATATATTTACATGTGTACATGCCTGTATATAGACCTATAAATGCGTCCTAGTTCTTTCCTCTTATTTCCTTTTACTTTCCTCTTGTCCCATTATCATGCTCAGCCTTCATATGGATTCCAGTAATTCCTCTTGGTAACATTGCCCTTGATCAAGCCCTACCAGGCCCCTTACACCCTCCTCATCACTTTGAATCACTTGTTGTTCCCTTGTCCTTGGGTTTGTTAACACCACTTCCTTTCCTGCACCTCCACCTCTCCCATGTCCCCCCAGAACTGTCGGTCCTGTTGTTTTCTTCTCCAGATTGTTTATCCAGCCTATCTTATCTAGACAGACCTGTCAGTTTTTTTCATTCTTGTGGAAGTTCATTGTGTTCAGTATTCATCCCCACCACAGCTCCAATGCATAACTTCGTCTTTGCCCTCCTTTCTCAGTTTCCTGCCTTCTACATGAATATGAGGTAATTGAAAAGGCCATGGCTTGAGTCAGGTACACCTTTGTTATCAAAGTGACATCTTTGATTTAAAGAATTCTTTTACCATTTTCTTTACTGAAGTATGTAATTTGATTTTTTGTTTTGTTTTATTAGTCATTCATCCTCATTTGATTTCCTAACTGCTGCTTCCCTGGGACTTGATTCTTGATCTGAGTAGAATGATGAAGTCATTAAAAAGTTCATTTTCTTTGTCATCAATCATGGTGTTGCTTGTCAGTTCAATTATGAACTGAGGCTAGTGTGAAAAATCTGGTTTAGCTCATGGGAGTATATAGTCTTATCAGCTATGAATTGTATTTATGAACTGGGAAGTGACAGGAAAGCTGTATTTTTTTGGACTAGACTTGACTATAAGAGATTACACATAGGGTAAAGAAAGCTGATGGTGCCTGATTATCAAATGATAAAGCATCTGCTCTCTTAAGGCTTGAAGGCAAACAAGCAGCCATCTAGCTCAGAAGTAACAAGCCCACATGGAAGAAGCACACCAGCCTGCGTGCTCATGAGGTGTTGAAGGAATCAGGTATCAGGCATCAAAGAACAAAAAATCATATCATTGTGAATGAGGGGGAGAGCAGAGTGGGGACCCAAAGCCCATCTGTAGGCAATTGGGCATCCCCTTACAGAAGGTTCTCGGTGGAGGAGACGAGTCAGTCAGGGTGCAGTAACAACGATGAAACATACAACTTTTCTCTAATTCCTAAATGCTTCCTCTCCCCGCCCCCCCAGCCCCCACTATCATGATCCCAATTCTACCTTATAAATCTGGCTAGACCAGAGGATATACATTGGTATAGATAGAAACTGGAAACGGAATCCAGGACAGATGATCTCTTCAGGACAGTGGTGTGAGTGACAATACCGGGAGGGTGGAGGGAGGGTGGGGTAGAAAGGGGGAACATATTACAGGGATCGACATATAACCTCCTCCCTGGGGGATGGACAACAGAATAGTGGGTGAAGGGAGGTGCTGGACAGTGTAAGATATGACAAAATAATAATAATTTATAAATTATCGAGGATTCATGAGGGAGTGGGGAGCAGGGAGGGAGGGGGGAAAATGAGCTGGTGCCAGGGGCTTAAGTGGAGAGCAAATATTTTGAGAATGATGAGGGCAATGAATGTATAAATGTGCTTCACACAATGGATATATGTATGGATTGTGATAAGAGTTGTATGAACCCCTAATAAAATGATTTAAATAAATGTTAAGTATGAGAGCACTCTGCGTTTCAGAAAGATCTCAATGACAGAACTGTAGGAAAATAACTCAAAACCCAATTCTGACTCCTAGAGATCCTATGGCAGTGGTTCTCAATCTTCCTAATGACGTAACCGTTTAGTTCCTCATGTTGTGGTGTCCCCAACCATCAGAAATATTTGTTTTTGATGGTCTTAGGCTACCCCTAAGAAAGGGTGGTTTGACCCCCAAAGAGGTCGCAACCCTCGGGTTTAGAGCGGCTGGTCTAAGGGACAAGAGTAGAACTTGTCCTGTAGGGTTCCGAAATTGTAAATCTCTGTGGTAGCAGAAGGCCTCTTCTTTGTCATGTCCAGTGTCTGGTGCTTCAAAATGCTGGCTTTGTAGTTAGCAGTCCAATGTGTTATAGGCTGCTTTTAATTCCTTGTTTTAGAAGATGGGGTATGGGCAAAGACTGTAAGTAAAATCAGAACAACCTGAAAGAGGAGCAACCTGAACTAATGTACAGGAGTTAGCGAAGTGAGCAGATATGAGAAATGCTTAAGACACAAAATTAATAAAATGTAGTGTCTAACCTGTACAGACCAACAGAAAGAGAATCATGAAAACATCTGAGTCACCAGCTTAGGCAACAGTAGGTGTCAATGACAAAACAGCAGGAAGTAAAAAGAGTGGGTTTAGTTCTTAGCACCACCATTTATACAAGAAGACCAAGTTTCTGGTCAAGTCCATTAAATATAGAATCTCAATGTCCTCATTTCTAATAAAAGTTTTCATTGGCTTGAAATAGTCTTAAAACTGCAAAATCTGTGAAGCTAAAAACTTTATCTTTGTTGTGATTCTTTCAGAACCAAACTCATTCAATGCCATGGAGTTGATTCTGACCATGGAGACCCCTATAGAACAGGGTAGATCTGCCCCTGTGGGTTTCCGAGACTTAGTTTTTACAGGACTAGAAAGCCTCACCTTTCTCCCTCAGGGCACCTGGTGGTTTTGAACAGCTGGCCTTGAGATTAGCAGCTCAAAATGGCTTTTAAGTCTTTTGCTACCTTTTCCCACAATAGGTAGTCTTGATTCTGAATTCCTACAAAATCAAACCTACTTTCCCTAGTATACTTAGTATATACCTAGTATACACAGTCCTAATCCTCTACTTTCCCTAGTATACCTAATCCTCAGTATCGGAAAACAGCTATGTAAAATCTCTCTTTTTCAATTGGGGGCTCTTACAACTCTTATCAAAATCCATGCATACATCAGTTGTGTAAAGCACATTTGTACATTCATTGCCTTCATCATTCTCAAAACATTTGCTCTTCACTTAAGCCCCTGGCATCAGCTC